TTTATTTAGACCTCTATAAATACCCTTTGCCTCCTAGCTCTTTCCTCTATTTCCTTTTACTTTCCTCTTGTCCCACTATTATGCTCAGCCTTCATTTGGGTTTCAGTAATTCCTGTTACATTACCCTTGATCACGCCCTACCAGGCCTCCTCCTTAGGGTCCATTTTTGGGGAACACTACTCTATAATTTTTGATGGGAGCATTCCTGGAATAGAACTGATGGATGGGGTATGGCTCGGAGGGGACTGGTCCCTGGTGAAGTTTAAAAAGAGCAAAAGCCAGAAACTGAAGAAACAACTGGTTCCTTAGGTCTTCTCATTGGAGGGAGCTGGGGAGCTAAAGAATTTAAGCTATGTCCTTCTAAGTGTTTCTATTTCTTCTTCTTTTGTACCTTGCAGAGTAAAAGCCAGGGATCCATCTTTGTCCGGATTCACGCCCCGTGGCAGGTGCTGACCAGAGAGGCGGAATTCTTGAAGATCAAAGTTCCCACCAAGAAAGTATGAGCATGTTTCTTCTGACTCTGGGGTCTCACAAGGGCTGGATGGACCCTTAGACAGGTTGGAGCTGGGTCAGGTGGGATGTGGGTTTTGTGGAATTGAATTCACACTTGTGTCCCCAGGGATCCCAAATATGTGACCATGATGTGGGTGGGATAGGGAGGAGAGTTGGTGTGGAGAGAGGAGCTGGCTTTGGGAGAGTCTCTCCACAGAGCACCACCTGGGTTCTGGTCCATGAGAAGCCACACATTGCTTCTTCATTTCTCCATTATGCCTTCTTTGAACCTCCTCTATGGGGGTCCCCACACTCCCGGGCATTTCTTTTTTTTTTCCCCCCGGGCATTTCTTTAGAGTGACTATAGCAATGAGTTTGAACAGCAAGCCATGTTGATAGCAGTGAACTTGTGAGGCTGCCCCCTTCTGGTTCAGATCTGCCACTGTGTGAGTTGTGGTTCTCTCTTAGTAAAACATTCTGATGAATTCACCCATTGAATTCATCATAATCATTTGGAAGTGTTTTCAAAATGTTCTTGCCATTGTCCCCATATCTGTTCCATTTAATTCAGTTGCCTAGTATGGAATGAGGTTCTAATATCAGGATTTTGATGTCCACCTGGGTTGAGAACCCAGGTCATATATGGCTTATATGATTTCTAAGAAAATTTCCCCAGGAATTCTTAGATGACACCGTTTGTTGTAAAATAAAAATGTTCCAAACAGCTCCGATGAGAAAGAAGCAGCTTCCACATACTCCCCACTCTTCTTATTAGGCATTATAGGGGGAATAGTAGTCATTGCCTTGGACCATCAGAGATGTTTCTAGGAAGGGTTCTGAGGCAGACAATGCTCTAGTTTAACGATGAGTGAACACACACACACACACACACACACACACACGCCTCACAGAATGTTTTTTCACCAGTGGTGACCCAGATTGGCAGTGGTCTTTCTAACTGCCATCTGCATTATTTCCCTTTCTCATTACCATATTTCCCTAGTCATTGCCTTCTGCACCACCCTGTTATCACCCTGCTCATCATCACCCCCACTATCAGTAGCACTGTCATAGTCACCATTTTGATTTGCTTTGTTGGCTGTATCAACACTCTCTTCACCACCAAGAGATCTACCATCTCCGTCAAAAACCACCAATTGCCACCTTTCAGTCAGAACATAGAGTCATCTATAAAATAAGCACGAGTACCATGAGGAATGTGCTCCTGTGAACCATCAACTCTATGAGACCAGAAGGTCAACATGGACCCCAACGAAAAGACGAGAAGGCAAGAAGGGCAGGGGACTGGGTAGATGGAAACAGCACACAGGTGGACATGGTGACAGGGCTGACGCATGGGGAGGACCATAACCTGCCACAGAAAAATTTGCATATGTGTTGCTGAATGGGAGTCTAATTTTTGTGTAGAATTTTACCTCAAGCACAACACCAGGTAAAAGATAAAGATATCACTCAAATACCTGTATGTGACTGATGTCATCATGAGTCCCCATCCCAAGAAAGTTGAAGCCTCTGGGTTCTGTCCCGTGAGATTCATGAACCCGATGGCCCTGCCAGGACAGATGTACCACCAGTGACTACCAAACAATGAATGAACACAGACATGGCTATTAGACCAAAACGTATTTTGCCAATAAAAGGAACATTTATTTGGGGTCCCTTGTCGAAGTGCCATGGTTTCTCATAGGAAGGTCCAAAGAATGACGCCATGCCCCTTTCTCTTTCACTCACTCTGCTGGCTGTGTCTTGTCTCCTCCTCATAGTTGTCTCCCTCCTAAAACCACTGGTCTCAAATGCAGGCTCTGTCTTAGCTTTGAGCCTCATCTCCTCTCCCACTAATGCTTCCCTGGCCTCTTTAGTTAGACGATAACTTTTGATGGTGTCTTATTTGGCCAACTTTTTTTCTTCTCTTTCCTTAGTCTTCCTTCCAACTCTAATATATGAGGGGGTCCCTCCCAAAATATGGAATTTTCAGAGCTAGGTCTTAATTTAATTTAATTTTATTTATTTTTTAACAAAACAACCTTATCACCTTCAAAGTACTCTCCAATACACTTAATACATTTGTCAAATTTGCAATTCTATTCTTGGAAACATTTCTAAAACTCAACTGTGTGGATGGCTGATAGCACCTCCCTCGTTTTTTTCTTCACCTCTTTACATCATCAACTCACTGTCCTTTTATGTTCCTTTCATTTGTGGAAACTAAAAAAAAGTTGCCTGGGGCGAGGTCAGGTGTGTCAGGTTCATGGGGAAGGAGAGGCATGCTGGGTTTTTTTTGGGGGGGTGGTTTGCCTAAAACTGGCTCACTGAGATGGCTGCATGAGCAGGTGCATTGTCGTGGTGATAAAATCAGTACCCCATCTGCCACAAATCAGGACTTTTTGTCACACATTGTTATGTAATCTCTTCAAAACCTCTAAATAGAAAGATTGATTAACAGTCTGGCCTGGTGGGACAAACTCCAAATGCACTATGAGTCGACATTTTAGTCCTTTCAGGAAGTTGATGAATGTCCAGAACAAGGTTTGTCATCAGTCAACAGTTCACTTTGTTGAAATGAGAAAACCACTTGTACACTAGAGTTTTTCCCATAGCGCTGTCCTTGTAAGCTGTGTTCAACATTACAACAGTTTCTGCAGCATTTTTCCCCAAGCAGGAAACGAAATTTTACAGCCACATGCTGTTCTCTTAAATCAGTCATCAAAACGAAAAACAAAAACAAAAAACGAGGTTTGACAGGTACACTGCTACAGATAAGAGCCCATAACACAGGGAATCCAGGATAGATAAACCCCTTGGGGCAACAATGACCATAGAGATACCAGGAAGATAAGGGGAAGGTGGGGGGAGAAAGGGGGAATCAATTACAAGGATCAACATATAACCCCCTGCCAGGGTGACAAATAACAGAAAAGTGGGTGAAGGGTGACAGAGGATGATGTAAGATATGAAAATAATAATCTATAAATTATCAAGGGTCCATGAGGGAGGGAGGGAGGGCAGGGGAGGGACCAGGGGAAAATGAGAAGCTGATGTCAAGGGCTCAGGTAGAAAGAAAATGCTTTGAAAATGATAACAACATATGTACAAATGTGCTTGACACAGGGGATGAATGTATGGATTGTGATAAGAGATGTAAGAGCCCCCAATAAAAGTATTAAAAAAATGAGGTTCGAGCGAAACTGCTTTTATGAAAAAATTCACTGTGACCAGAGAGAACCTTCCCAGGTGATGCCACTGGGTGCACTAACTCAGAGTGAGTTGCTTGATGGTCACCTAGTGGGAAAAATGCATACTACAATGAAAACTCTGCCTAGGGGACCTTTTTTGCCATTTGGGGGTGGGGTACTCCCTTGTATTATTCTCCTTTATCTTTGATTTATCTGAAGATCCAACAGTGTTTAACTTCATTCCATTCGCACCTTATTTTCTGTGTTTTTAATTGCTGGTGACCCCAACTGTAATATCCAGGCTATTTTTTTACCCCCTCCGGCCCTCCCTCATGGGGAGAAGCATAAAGCAGGTTGGCATCCTTCTTCTTTTCTTCCTTTTGTTGCTTCTCTTCTTTGTGCTCCTTTCCATTCTCCATTCCCACTTTTCCTTCCCTTCTTCTCTCTTCCTCCTACCCCTCGATGCCTTCTTCCATCCTCCCTCTATTTTTGTATACTCCACCACACCTCTTATTTTCTACTCCATTTTTCTGCTTCTCATTCCCAGGTTCAGCCCTCAACTACCGTCTGCCTCTGGTTGTTGTGGTCTCTTCCTTGCCAGAGTTTAAGTGCTGCCAAACATTCAGTCATTTGCAATGTATCATCTGTAGTTTCAGGTAGGACCTGCCCTTGGATGTGTAGATGTGATGATTAGGGTGAGAGCATACTATATGGAAATTATATCTAGGTCTCCCTCCACTTCGTTTTGATAGCAGAGAATGGTAAACAGTGCTAGATTCATCCTTAGAAGAACAAACTTCTGCCTTTGATTCTACACTTATGTACAATGTGATTTGGTGGATCACCTGATCTTTCAGAGCCTCGGCTTCCCCATCTGCAATATAAGAATGCCAATGCCCTATATTTCTTAGGAGATTGATGTAAGGATTCAATTCTTAATCTATAGTATGAATATAGAGGCATTTATTATTATGTCTGCATATATTTAATGTATATTTTCAATTCTGACTAACTTTCTATCTGAATGAATAGCCAGAGCTAATTTCCATTTTGATTGACTATCTAGCCAGCTCTAATGGAATTGATAAAGCGAGTCTTTGGAGAAGTACTTCATGAAGGGCAAAGAAACAGCCAAGCCCGCAAGGAGCTTACAGTCAAACGCAAGACGGGAAGAGTGCATTGTCCAGACACCAAAGTATTAACTATCTACTCATTAGCACAACACAGGTGCTGTATGTAAATGTGGTGGGGGAGGGAACCTGGGGAGAGGCAGAGAAGATACTTGCTTCCAGCAATACAGCAAACACAATTTTCCCCAAAGTTTCTCGGTCCCAGGTGGACAGCTCTAGCATCTCTTTGATGGTTCAGACACCTGGACCCAGAGCCTCTTGGTGTTCCCACCATAATGTGGTGGGGTGCGGTTAGCTTCACAGGGGTTGCATAAGCAGAAGAAGGTACAACTTGGTATGCCAATCAGTGCCTGTGTGCAAAAATTAATCTGAGAACATGACCGCCAAGAGGCATGTTAAACCTCGTTCCAGGGGGGCAAGAAAAATGGGCTAGGGCAATCTGTAGGGGGCTGACATTGCATCCAATAGCATTTCTCTCCTTGTTCAATGGGTTGAGTGATTGATAATGAGCTATGTTGTTGGAGAGGGACACGTGGAGGAAGAATGGGACATTATAGGGGATCAGTTAAGCATCAGTCAGGTCCATGGAGGCCTGGATCATAACCCAGAGTGGTCCAGAGAGACTGAGAAGACTGAGAGGAAATCACAAAATCAAGAACTCAGACCAGGCAAAATCCCTAGTAATGTGTCCAGGGGCTCAGAGACCTGAACACAGATATTAACTGGGCGGGGAAATCTTGGAAGGAAGCATTTGTTTTCCAAGAACAACAACAGAGAAGCCAGCCTTTTGTGAGGGACACTCAACCTTCAGACTGAGGGAAGGAGATGGGAAGGCCTGGCTTTGGCCCCTGAGCATCAGGAGAAGGTTGGAAATAGGTGTTTGGGAGCAAGTTCTACTCATTGTAAGGGTCGCTCTTGGGATGGTGGCGAACAGCCACTTTTCGGTTTCATTCATTTATATATATGTGTGTCTCCTTTTCTTTTCTTTCCTCTTCCCTTCAGTTACTCTCTAGTAGAGACAAGGCAAGGGAGTGCACTAGGGAGGAGGTAGATAACAGAGTCTATGAGGAGGACTTTCTTGTCAGGGAAATCACCTTCGTTCAGCCAGAGTCCATTCAACTTGGAAGAAGTGGCGTGCCTGGAATGGGTGAAAAGCATCCTCGTCAAGACTTTTGTAGCCATCCATAGCTGGTTCATGCTGGTTCTCCCTAAGGTCCTGTAAGGACTTTAGCTTCTGAGTGCTTTGCATGTAAGTGACGCTATTAACATCAAGAAAATGCTGCCTTTTTAGGAGAGCAGACTCAGAGCTCTGCTCATTTCAAAACTAGGAGCAAAGAATGTCTCGAAGGCCTGCCTCTCGTCCTAGGAGAACTGATAGTGTAGGTAGCATGCCTAGCATAAACACACACATGCTCATTTATGTCGGGTTGATCATATAGGAGCTTCATAGCAATCCCATAGGACCCTCCTAGTGATCATTTAAGCTCCTCATAGTGATCCCATTGGACAGAGTAGAACTACCCCTTGGGTTCCCAGGGCTACAATCTATAAAGAAACAGACTGGCCCATCTTTCTCCCACTGGGAGTTTGTACCCACTGACCTTTCAGTTATTATCTGAGCACTTCATCACTGCACCACCAGGACTCCTTCCTAGTATAGGGGCACACACAATTAAATATAATTTACATAATATGTAATAATCATAGCTGCTATTATTACTGCTGTTGGCGTCATCTGCATATGAAGTGTGTGTGGCTATATAGTTGGCCATAGATGGGCTGCCTCTTCTTGCTCTTTCCCCTCTTTTCTCCCTTCACAGTCCATATCTGTGAGCCCGGCTATCAAAAGATATAGCGTCTGAGGTCTTAAAGGTCTGAAGGTAAACAAGTGGCCATCTAGCTCAGAAGCAACAAAGCCCACATGGAAGAAGCACCCCAGCCTGTGTGATTCCGAGGTGCTGAAGGGATTGGTTATCAGGCATCAAAGAACAAAAAAATCTTATCATTGTGTGCTCACCTCCCCAATACGATCACTGAAGACAAATGGGTGCCTAAGCAAATGTGCTAAAGAAAGCTGATGGTGCCCGGCTATCAAAAGATATAATATCTTGGGTCTTAAAGGCTTGAAGGTAAACAAGCAGCCATCTAGATCAGAAGCAACAAAGCCCACATGGAAGAAGCATACCAGCTTTTGTAATCACGAGGTGTCAAAGGGATGAGGTATCAGGCATCAAAGAACAAAAAATCATATCATTGTGAATGTGGGTGAGTTTGGGGTGGAGACCCAAAGCCCATCTGTTGGCAACGGGACATCCCCTTACTGAAAGGTCACAGGGAGGAGATGAGCCAGTCAGGGGGCAGTGTACCAATGATGAAACATACAACTTTTCTTCTAGTTCCTAAATGCTTCCTCCCCACCCACTATAATGATCCCAAGTCTACCTTACAAGTCTGGCTAGGCCAGAAGATGTTCACTGGTACAGATAGGAACTGGAAATACAGGAAATGCAGGATAGATGATCCCTTCAGGACCAGTGGTGAGAGTGGTGACATCAGGAGGGTGGAGGGAGGGTGGGGTAGAGAGGGGGAACCGATTACAAGGATCTACATATAACCTCCTCCCTGGGGGACAGACAACAGAAAAGTGGGTGGAGGGAGACATCAGACAATGTAAGATATAACAAAATAATAATTTATAAGTTATCAAGGGTCATGAGGCAGGGGGGTATGGGGAGGGAGGGGGGAAATGAGGAGCTGATGCCAGGGGCTTATGTGGAGAGCAAATGTTTTGAGAATGATGAGGGTAGTGATTGTACAAATGTGCTGTAAACAATTGATGTATGTATGGATTGTGTTAAGAGTTATATGAGCCCCAATAAAATGATTTAAAAAAAGTTTAGGATCCTCTTTCTCAGTGTGTTTGACAAGAAGTCATCAGCGGACAGTTCAAGACTTGGGCCTCTCACAGGTCCATGGGCTTGCTGTGCATCCCAACAATCCTTTTGGTGTCTTCTGTGAGTGCCTGGACTAGACTAGTTCACTCCCTGACATTGGGTTGGAGTGTTATAAGGAGCCATTGTGCAGTTTTAAGAAGGAGTAGGGCCCTCATATGCTACCTTCGCCCTAGTGGGTCTACCTCATCACCTTCTGTTCCTATTTCGAGGACCTACAAAGGCTGGGGGGTGGGGGGGCTCACTTTGC